ATATTTTCTTGAAAAAGAAGAAGACAATATGAATAAAGTACAATTCTGGTTCACTGCTATACATTTTCTTAAAAAAAAGTATTTAAAAAATCATGAGTTTTTATTTTAAAATGTGTTCAAAATAACTTTAAAATTAATAATATTAAATGTTTCATAAAACCTGTTTTCAATTAATTTTATTAGTGAAAAAAAGGGTGGAAAAAACAAAAGTAACAAGTTCTAGATTCAAACACATAATCAGCTAAGCTAATGTCAAGGAGTGTCACTGCATAAAATATACTTGGACTTTTTTCTTTCCCTTCAATTATCTATGTATATTTACAAAATCTTTTCGATGCAATAGTCACATGACACCTATTAAATTTAAGTAAATTCGCCTCAATTCAACTTAAATTTTTTAACAATAAATTTACTCAATTATATTAACTATTAAAAAGATTATTTTTGGTAGAATAAATTATTTTATATATCATGTAAATATGAACCCACAACTACACATAATTTAAAATTTTCATTATAATTCTTCTTTCTTCTTAATTACCATTAAAAAATCTTGACATGATGAATAAATTATTTTATATGTTTATATAAATTTGACACTACATTTATAAATTTTTTGTATGTTAAACATTAGTGCTTCATATTGGTGTACATTTTCACAAGTCATTAATGTCTATTCTTTCATCAATATATATCTGAATTTTAAATATTATCTATTCTTCAACCAGTTATATATAGGACACAATTTCATATTCTAAAATAAAAAACAACAAAAATTTGGCATCATTATATCAATGTTCAATGTAATATATATTTACTGGGCTAGGATATTCCACATCAACAAAGATAACCCGCAAAATTTACTTTGTAGTGATCCTTTTGCTCATTAAACTAAGAAGGAAATGATTAAAATACTAAAAAATTTACATATTATAGAAATATATAGATGTTGAAGTGAGTTTCTATATATCGAATATAAAATAATTTATTTGTTACGTCAAATTTATTGACTATTAAATTAACAAAGAAAAGGAATTACTGTATTTTTTAATTATGTTTATTCGTGGCTTCATATTTAAATGAGATATAAAATATATTATTATGTCATGTCAATTTATTTTAATAATAGATATAGTTGAGTAAGTTTATTGATAAAAATAAAATTTAATAAATTTAATAGATAATTACCATAATCTACTTTTAAGTTATTCATATATTAAATATTATAAAAATAATTTTATGTTTGATAAAATTATAACATTGTTATGCATAAAATACAACATGATATTTAGTTCATAATTTAATAATAAACATATATACCAATATATAAGTGGCAGTAAACATATACCATCGGTTGTGTGCTTATTTTCAAATAGAGTTACCTGGCTTATTAGTTTAAGTATGACAATTAGGGGTCATTTGGTTTAAATACAAGTTATTTTGAGATTTATTATGTTGGGATAAGTTATACTGTGATTAACTATGTTAAAAGTAGCTTTTATGCTTGTTTGGTTTGTCACATTCAAATTTATATCCATTGCATAATCTTTAACAATAAGTTATTTGTTTACAAAAATATCCTCCACTTTATTTAATTAATTTTTTAAACATTATTTTTGCAAACTTTAGTATTCATTCCCAAAAATCAAACTTTAATATTATTTAGCTTAAATATCTTTGGGCAAAGGACAAAATCACATATTTTTAAGTCAAAATTATCATTTATTCCTTGTAAGTTTATATTAAAGAAATTTCTCAAACTGATACAATAATATAAGCGCTGATACGTTAATATGATGTGCGAGACACATTAATCGTTAAGTAAGATGGATTACATTTTATACATAATATACTAATTTGATATACATTTTATACAAGATACACTAATCTGATGAGCGAGATACATAATCTGATGCCCGACAATGAGGAATTTTGGGGATTATAAAACTAATAGGGGATAATGGTAATAAGAGAACTTAAAGGTGAGATTTTTGTCATTTCTTCAATATTTTTTATATGTATTTCAATGATTGTGCCGTGTGTTTTTAAAATTAAACTTTTATCTTATTTAACTTAAAAATAAAACTTCCATATTTAACTTAAAGATAAAATTTTTATCTTATTAGCTTGAGAATAAAATTTTTGTCTTATTTAGCTTAAAAATTAAACTTTCATTTTATTTAGTTTAAAATTTAAATTTTCGATCTAATATAAAACTTTCGTTTTAAATTTATCAAAGTAAAAGAAATTTTATTATTAAAGTTATCTACATTTAAATGGATATAAAATATTATTTTTAGGTGAGTAATAAACTATGTAATTTAGCAGTGGAGTGAATATTTTAATAGAAATTAAAATATAAATAAAAGTAAAATTAGGTAAAAAAGTCGACTTATAATATATTTATAAATAAAAATTATATTTATAAAATGTAGTTTCTAAATAGAAAAAATATATAATAAAAACAACGAGTAAATAAGGTTGTGAATGTTATTACAGTTGTTTAAAATTATATTAATATACATGAATATATAAGTAGTGTATAAAAGAGAGTTTAAAGAGGAAATTTTGGTAATTTACATACTTTATTTCAGCATAAATTATCTTGAAATTATTATTCTACCTTTAAAGAGGGATAACTTATCCCAATATTAATTGTTAATCTTGGGGAAAATGTATAAGTATCGGCTCAATCTATGTCCGAAAATCTCAGTAACATACTACGTGTCTCTAGTTTGAAAAAAAATGTCAACACGCGCTAGACCCACAAGATTGTGCCACGTAGGTCGAGAAGGGATAGAAAATTATTTATAAAATAAGTTAGGGGGGTAATAGGACCTTAATATAATATAAGTATGTCTTTGTGATTTCGAGCATAGGTTAAAGGAATACTCATACAATTTTCCTTAATCTTGGGATAAGTTATCACATCCTGGTTAACCAAACAATGGATTGAGAGACGCTAAAAAAAATTTCAGGATAACTTTCTCTTATCCATCACACCAAACGACTCCTTAAAGTACAAGGTCTGGGGTACTCATTTAAGACTTTTGACATTTCGATTACGTAAATATATTTTGTGTTTATATTTTACTTATTTCACCTTTTATATAACATAAAAAACAATTAATTATTAAATTATATTAAAAATTAAGTAACTCTTAAAATATTGTACATGTCACATCTATGATTTAAGAAAAATTATAAAAATAATTATTAACAAAATTATAAAATTAAAATAATATCTATCGAGTCCCGATTGTATCTAGTGTATAGTAAATGCACATAAATAGATAGGTAGAATAGTCTGGTGGACCCTCCTACTTGTATCGGATTGTATTATGGACTCTTCTACTTAGCTTTTTGTTATTTGGACCCTTATACTCAACATAACACAATATATTAAATGCCTCTTCTTCCTTATGTGACATTAATATAGATGAGTTGGCAAGAGAGTGTAGTCACACGCTTGCAAAGGCAAGTTAATATGATATTTGAAATTTCAACTTTTACTTTTAAGTTATTAAAATTATTTTTTTAAAAAATAAATTTAAAAAGGAAAAAAAAACTTCATCTTCTTCTCACACTACCTCCAGCTTCTTCCCCACACTACCTTTTTTACAGCCACCCCAACCTCAACCTATTTTTCTTTCTAATCCACACCCTATTGTTATTTATCTTCATTTTTCTTTCACTTCTTTCTTCTTCCCCCCACCCATTCCTATTTTTTTTCCTCTTCAATCATTACTTTCCCTCTTCCCCCCTCTTATACCTGGATTTCTATCTTTCTGTCTTTCCTTACTCCTTTTCAATTTCTTTCTTGTTTTTTTTTTGTTATCCTAAATAAAAAATGAAATTGGACAAAAAAAATTGAATGTAATAAGCAAAGAAAAATCAGAAATTAGTGGAGTTGTTGATATCTCTAATGTGTAACTTGACCTCTTTTGATGTCAAAATTATTCTTGTATTTGTAAGCAATTTGGGGTGTGAAATAGTAGTTAGCATTGGATTATGAAAAGTTTTGGTTAGATCTGGTTGTTAGTTGGCTTGGTTGTTGTTATTATGATTGTTAGATGACTTAGGTTGTTGTTACTTTGATTTCGCTGGTAAAAATGGCGATGACGCCAGCAAAAATAAACGCCACCGTAAAAAATGGAGACGACACAATGGCTCCATCAATTTCTCCGCATCGACAAGATCCTCTACCTTGTTCCGACCAGTTTGTATTGCTATCTGTGCCAAAAAATCAAAAATGTTATATTGGGTTTTACAATTGGATTCGATGCCGGCTTGGTGGTGAAATAGTAAAAATAGGGAGGATTAGAAATATCAATAACAAATTAAAATGGCACTAGCGGGGAGTGAAGTAGTTTCATGACTTCATCAGATTGTTGGATTGTGAAAAAATCGAAGAAGAAAAAAATGGGAATATGGAGATGGTGGAGTTTTGACAGTGATGGCGGGTTAGGGAAGGTGGAGGATTATTTTATTTAATAAAATAGGTTTTTTTAAAAAAATTGTCTTTTATTTAATATTTTTATTAATAATTTAAAAATTATTATGAAAAAATTATGACTTGACATTAATATATATGACATGGATATAACATGTTATCTATACAAGGGAGAGTGAGATACATACATGGTCATAGAAATTTAAAAATCTAATTTTGATAAGTTCAAAACTCCAGATAATAAAAAATTAAATAAAAAAATTCATAATACGATTCGATAGAAGCATGAGGATCCACCACTATTCAATACTCCAGTATTCACATGGGCATGATTTTATTTTATTTTTCACATGTGAATATACTGCTATAGGCTTTACATTTATTTTTTAATTAAAAAGTGCTTTTGTTTTCTTTTTGCATTTTTACTCCTATTTACCTAAAAGACCAAAGATTAGTCAAGTCTTTTTGCATCCACTTTTCCTAAACTGTGTCTGCTAAAACTAAGGGAGAGAAAGTAGATCAAAAAACAGAGTAGCTATCGGCCGCCATGGATGTAAATGTCGAGCTCCAAAATTTCATCCGAGTATGGTTTGCAGCTATTGGAGCTTTATGCTATTGCTACTACTGCGTAACCCGTATTCCTAGCGGCGTCCTAAGGCTTCTCTTTGTTCTTCCCATTGTCTATTTCTTTCTCATTCTCCCTCTCGATCTATCTTCCTTCCATCTTGGTGCCCCCACAATTTTCTACCTCGTCTGGCTCGCTAATTTCAAGCTGCTTCTCTTTTGTTTCGATCGAGGGCCTTTATCCTCTTACTCTTCTTTACCTCTTCTTCATTTCCTCTCTATCGCCCTTCTCCCGGTTAAACCAACCTACATTATCAGAGACGGATTCAAAATTTCATCAACTCAGTCGGTGCAGAGTACCGAAAGAGCACCTGGTTTGTTTTGGGGGAAAATAATCCTGTTGGCAGCTATTATTAGAGTATACAATTACAGAGAACTTTTACATTCAAATGTTATTTTGGTTCTCTATTGCTTACATATTTATCTAGCAGTGGAGTTAATCCTTGCAATCACAGTTATCCCAGTACGAGCTCTTCTAGGGCTAGAAATTGAGCCTCAATTCAACGACCCATACATCGCCACCTCACTTCAAGACTTTTGGGGCCGTAGATGGAACTTAATGGTGCCGGGGATTTTACGTCCGGCGGTGTATTTTCCTGTCAGGGGTATTTTAACCTCTTCTTTAGGGAAGGAATTAGCCAGTTTACCAGCAATTTTTGCTACATTTTTAGTTTCTGGGTTAATGCATGAATTGATCTACTATTACCTCTCCCGCGTGAGACCCACATGGGAAGTGACTTGGTTCTTCGTCTTACATGGAATTTGTGTGTGCATAGAGGTTACCGTGAAGAAATTTTTTCATGGCGGCTGGCAGATGAATAGGGTGGTTTCCGGTGTAGTCACATTGGCGTTTGTGGCTTGGACCGGTGATTGGCTATTTTTCCCACAGATTATTAGGAATGGGTTAGACCAGAAAGCCATTAACGAGTACTACGTTATGGTAGATTTGGTCAAAGATAGGCTGCTGCCAGTTTTGGGAATTTAAATTTTGTTGTTATAAGTACCCGTATTGGGATGGAGTTAGATCCACACTGTTGTAGAGTAATTCTTTAAATTCAGCATTTCCCACGCTATATAATATCATAATATGAAATTACAAAATTAAAGTTTTGTTTAGACATGTATGAAAGTTGTGAAATTATTGAAATGACTCCAATTGTTTATTGAATTTTATTATTGTAAATAAAAATTTATAAAATCACATAATAAGTTATGATAAAGTTATTTGTTCCTCTCTGTAGTAATTGTTTCATCTTATTTTAATTTATCAAACTTTAATTCAATAAAAATATTATTGAACATTAATTGTAGTGTACCAGTATCTAATATAATCCTCCCATATATTACGGACAAAATCCTTACGCTGTACTTGTATTTTTCGATCAAGAGACAGAAGAGATGAACCAACATTGTTACGTTGATTATATTAAATATAAAACGACAGAAGTAATAAATTAAGTGTTGGAGTATATGAAGAGAACAAATTTATTACTGCGAGTTAAAAAGACTATATGTTGGTGAGAATAATAAATTTTATGTCAGTAAGAATAACCAATTTTTAAAAAGTAATATGTGATTATAAATTTTATTTACATATGAAATAAATTGTTAGTAGATATAAATATGGGGTTATTTTAACAAAATATAAACGTATGGATCGATCTTTGTATTAAAAATATATCAAATCATGATATGAAATTTTCACATCATGGTTTTTTGAGAATATGAAATCAGCGTCAAATTACATGTCCAAACGCTGATTCCATCTCACAATTCCATATTGTGATATGTGAGTTGCACATGTGTTAAAAAGAGTTAAGTTTGACCAAAAAAAAAAAGATTGAAAACACTGTTAAATTGGTGTGAATTATTATTTTTTAATTTCATTTTAAACTATTGACGCACTTTAAAATACTCATGTACTTGACTAACTAAACTTGAATATGCTCTGTTTTTTTCAGATGGATAAAATATATTCCTAGGAATCGTTTCGTGTGATAGATAAATAAATAATCTCGGAAAAAGTTTTTAGTACTCCTCAATTCTTTGTCTAGTTATAAAGTGTGGGATAACTTATCTCAAAATTACTAATTATGACCGAGAGAAATTATCTTGAGATAAAATGTAAAATAACAAAATTATCCTCTTTTATAACATAACAACTTATTCTTAGAGGATATTTTTTTTTTTGTAAACAAATAACTCATTCTTAGAAATTGTGTAATGCATATTTGACAAACCAAACAACCAATAAAAAATTATCTCAACATAACTTATTCAATCATAATTAGTCTCATCATAACTTGTCTTCAAACCAAATGACCTATAAATTCTCATTAAGTTTAGTAGTGTTTTCAACTCTTCTTTTGAATTTTTATTAAAAATTATATACTCCTACAAGAGTTCAAAACCACTTTTTATGTCATGTGGCAGATTACATAAGTATTTAAGTTGAGTCAGTCAAGTAAATGATATTTTTAAAACTGTCAATAATTCAAAATGAAACTAATAATTCACGTCAAAATTAAGGGCGCTTTTAATACTTCTCTCTTAATAAAAACAATTTACTCTTACCTATCTTTCTCAGAGATTATTTTTAATCTAAGGGGTAAATAACTTAAGACCAAAATAATTCATCCCTCGTACATTAAGGAGTAAGGACTATTTTCACTATGTTCTTATTTATATGGGCAATGTACATATGATTGAGAAAGACAAAAACATGATGAAAGTTCTATTCGTAATCTTTTACAAACTTGTTATTTAGTTTATGTTAGTATCTTATAAATGATTTTCATTTTTACATAAAAGATCATCAGTTTTATACCTACAAAATCTGAAAAGATAAAAATAAAATAAAAAAATGCCCATAAAGATTGAAGGCTTAGAACTAGTTGATTTTCAGATTAAATTTAGATAGTGTTTTTTCTTTTTTTTTTTAATAGAAATAAGCAATGAACAATTGTTAGAATAAGATAATATTCAGATAAAGTTTTTAGAATATCAAGGGACTAATAGCAAAAGACAGCTAAAAATCAACTGATACCAATTCAACAAACGAAACATTCAGACTTCAATTATAAGCAGTGACGGTTTACCCTCCCCTTAACGATGTGGGAATCGGATAATTAAAAGTGATAGGATAATGATAAATCCATGTGTCACCACTCAAATGGGACTCCAATTCTCTAGAAATATATCCAGTTTCCAACGTGTCATGTTCAAATCCATGCGAAAAAAAGATTCAAACAAAACCATAACATATTCACAATCACATCATTTTCTGAGCCACAGGTAATTTCCTAGTCTGAAGCAGAGCCCAATAATGGCGTCTATGGCAACTCTTACTGCAGTAAAGCCCACCAGTAGTGTCAAGGGCCTAGCTGGAAGCTCCATTGCTGGAACTAAGCTGAATGTTAAATCATCTCGCCTCAATGTGAAGCAATCTAAATCCAGGTAAGGTACTGGATGGCCGATGTCTCGGATTTTAGTAGCCCGTTTGATCAATATCTGCTTATTTCAATTTTAGGAAGTCTTATTGTTTTAGCAATTTGTGTTTGACGAATCAACTTGCAAAGCAATTTGTCAATATTAGAAAAAACAGTTGTGTTTGACTGATTAACGCTCCAAAACTTCAATTTCTGAAAAACAACTTCTATTACTGCTCACAACTACTTATTTATTCCTAAAATGTTTAGCCAAGCAACTTGGACTTTAGTTTGGTTAGTGGTGAAGTTAAAGATTGAATTAGTTTTTTTCTTAATAACCATGGTGTGTGTTCGACTACCTGTTACCTCCCACCAATATCGGTTTATCTGAGGATGTTAAGAAATGTTATTATATACATTTGAGCTTTCGAAGATGGAAATTAAAGATGAGTTATAGGCCTGTCAGCATTTATATATTTTTTTGCTTCGACTGATTATGATAGTTTTGTGTAGGGCTGGTGCTGTGGTTGCAAAATATGGTGACAAGAGTGTATATTTTGACTTGGAGGATTTGGGCAACACAACTGGTCAGTGGGACTTGTATGGATCAGATGCTCCTTCACCTTACAACTCCCTTCAGGTGTCATTTGTCTTTCTCCCCTTAGAGAAAAGAAAATTTCACATTCTTTATCTCAAAAATGTTTCATTAGTTGTTTTGTGCATGTTAGCTCATAGTTGACTAGCTAGTTTCAGCATCGATTATTCGCCAGAACATTACTGAGTCATAACTGTCTTTCTCCTATTATTTTGTATTTGGTAGAGCAAGTTCTTTGAGACATTTGCTGCTCCTTTCACAAAGAGAGGTCTGTTGCTCAAGTTCTTGATATTGGGAGGTGGCTCAACTCTTGCTTACTTCAGTTCAACTGCATCAGGAGATATCCTACCAATCAAGAAAGGCCCCCAACTTCCACCAAAGCTCGGTCCACGTGGCAAGATCTAATTGCTTCCCAATCAAAATTTCTTTACCTTCATTTTGTTATTGATGTATCATCTATATAACAGCTTGTAAGTGTACATTAAAGCTTACCTCAGACCTCTGTTACAACAAGATAAATCTTCTGGAAAGTTCAAAGCATTGCTTTCGAAGTTTGTAGCTTATGATATTTTTTTTCATCTTCGTGGTTCATCATGCCTTTGTGATATTGTAAACAATACTCTGAAAAGAACATGAAAGAAAAGGTAGACTGATAAGGACAACAAATCTCTCTTACATACTTCCTTTCCAATAAAATCTAAAGACCAAAGGCCATACAAAATAACATAGTACTATTTGCAAAAAATCAAAAAATTCACTTTGTTTTTTCAACAAGGTGACATCTTGTACACAGTAAATCACTTCAAAAGAAGTGCCACAGACTCGATAGGTCTACTAAATTTTCCCTACTTACAAAAGGAATGGCTTAGTTGAATCCTATATGGGTGAGATCCATCTGAATATGTACATTTGAGGACGAGCTTCCAGAATTCCGTGAATTCTGATGGCAGTCCTCGTGAGGTAAACTAAAATTCTGCAGTGTCAAGCAATTAGTGACGTGCAGTTGGACTTCTGCACATACCTAAGTTCTCTAGGTAAGAAAACCTCTTGTTGGTGACTATGCTAGGAGGGCTGCATTTAATCTTCGCGTTAATATCTTTATAAGTTGGGTCCTCCTTCAAATCTTTCTTTGGGTTGTTGTCTTCTTGATCAGGTGTCCAACCGATGAAGTCCAAAAGTGTCATTGAAGCTCCATTCTCTGCAGAGTTAAGCTTCCCTTCTTCTTCTTTATCTGATAAAGGTCTCTTTACTTCTCCATTGGAAGGATTTTGCGCCATAGCATCTGCTTGGAGAACGTCTTCAATTCGTGACATGATTGTGAATGCCCTGCTTTCTATTATTCTTGAATAGCTTTCTAATATAGCTTGTCCCACATCCTGCAAAATCAACAAAAATCTCGTTCCATTAATTCATGTAGAAGTCCAAGAAACTAGATCCTCTAGTATATGGATGATCTCATAATGACAAAGAACTTGAATCGCCTAATAGAAGCAAAGAAAACAAGTCTAGATGCTCTAGAATATGAAATTGGAAATAAATCAAAATGTGCATGTTTCGTACTTTGTTGTATTGGATTTTACTAATGTCTAGTTTTGACTGAGGAATTCCAGGGAACCGCTGCTTAAGAATTAATAAGATGAGTTCTGCTCTTTCTTCAAACATTTCTCTCTTCTCAAAGCTAATAGTTGAACCCCAGGATGATTTCCCATCTTTAGCATGCATCTTTCGTTTCCAAATAACTACAGAAGCCTCAATCCTGTCCTTGAGGTCTAAAATTTTATGTTCTGAAGACATGTCCATAGTTGTAAAGAAGTAATCTGGATCAAAGTATTCATCGGTGATGCTTTTGTAGATCGAATCTCCTAGGCTTGCTCTCCCATTCTAAACATAGTAAAAGGGAAATGTTAACTCAAGATCACAAGCTTGAAGTAAGTAAAAAGTGAGGTTCATGATTTTTTAGACCTTAGGTAGGGATTCTATATAACTTTCTGGGATCTCCATTTCTGACAAGACTTGAGCATTTATCGCCATGGATGCTTTATGAACTTGGTTTACTGAATCCTTCTGAAATTGCAGCCATTTCCGCATTGGATCAGACAAGCCGTTAGGAGGAACCTTAGGAGTAGGTATCCACCATTTGTCATCTTTCCTGCTGTTTTTTTCTTCCTGTGATTCATCATCTTTTGATACGTACGAGAACTCACTTTGATCGTTAAGGCCATCTAAGCAATCCTGTTGGTCATTAATCCAGACATAAACATCAATGAGGACAATGGAGATCACTTAGGAAAAGGAAAACAGAAAAACTTCATATCTCTTACAATAAGCATTGCATCTAGCTTCCGTAGAGCTGGAATGTTCATTTGAAGATCAGATCGCTGCTTTGTTACCATAACCTGATAGAGAAATTAAATGAACGTATGATCGATCACTCTTGTTGTACGGTAGATATATGAAATATGCAACAAAAAGTTCGAAGGAGAGAGAGAGGGAGAGGTACCTCCATGTTTGTTCCAGCTTTTGAAACTTGTTTACAAGGAACAAATTCAACAATATGATCTGTAACAGATAAAAGCCAACCAATTTCTTTTCTCCATTTTGCTTTTCTCTCAGCTGGCATTGGCTCTAATCTTTTCATCTCTCCGAAAACAGAAGCTGCACATATCATACATAGATAAGAAAAGTTGACTTCTCCGATTAACAACAGATCAACAAGTTTTAGTTATACACTGATGATTACCTGCTAGATTTGTGATTGCATTTGACAAAGCCAGCGCAGACGAGACACCCTTCCCTCCACCAGACATATCCTCACCAAGGAGCAGCTTTGAAAACTTTTCCTTCATCAACTCCATATCTAAATAGGACCAAAAGACTCAGTATGTGGTAAATGCCAGTGGCGGAGCCAGGGCTTCAAAAAAAATCCCATGTCAGGGGATTCATCAACTTACATATACGCGGAAAAAAAAATCATTTTTGCCCTATATATATACATATTACCATAGAATTTGAACTCCTTGCACCCTCTGCTTCCACCCCTGAATGCATAAAACATGCAAACCACATCTTTTGACTACAATATATCAATTCATTCACTAATTACTTTTCAGTTTTCACCCAAAAGATTTTTTTTTTTTTGAATAATTACCCCTAAAGGAGAAATAAAACATTTTGTTAACTTTGGATAGATAACCTTAATTAATGCTTTAGACATGTTCAATCATTCAAGACCCTCAAGCATAGCACAATTTTTCTTTTCAAAAGTAAAGCATTAAAGGTGACAGCAATGGTGGAACTAGGGTCCCCTCTTTTATCAATACTTACACTGCAGACATAATTATTTTTTTTATGTATATATATATTAGATGTTGAATCCGTTTAGCTTCTTCATGCATGTATTTTTTTGTATTTTGAATACCCTTAGTGAAAATCTTGAGATTGTCACACGGTGACAGAAAGGATATATTGAAAATATAGATCTTTATGAAAATTAGTATTATCAGAGACATCAGGGCTTTAAACAATTGACTAAAGTTTTTGTGTTTCATGGAGAATGAACAAAATCAAGAACCATCCCCACACACACAAAATGTATTTTTTTTTGTGATTTTTCTAAAAAGGGAAGAAAATGACTTACCTGAACGAGGGCTAGTGACCGTTGAATCGTTAGCCAAACGTGACTTGAATCCAGCCATTGAATTATTGTTCGTCTCAAGAATCATGATTAACACATTCTATAAAAATGGTACTTATAACAAGAAAGTTAATGAAATGGGGTTTGTTTATGAGGTGAAAAAGAATGAAAATTTTTGATTGTGTTTGTGCAGGTACAGAGAGGAAGGGATAGAGGCAAAGTGTTTTGTTGATGGATAAATTGTGGAGAGGATGTTTTGGTGTTTAATTCTTAGTTTAAGTGAATGGTTGGAAGAACGTGGTGTGCATGTTTGTTTTGAAGAATGATAGAAACAGGACTGGCCTCTTGCTTTGACTAATTATACAAAATGCAATTATGTATTTGTGTAATTGCGTTTGTACATTTGTTCGCTCGTTATTGGCTGGTTGTTATAAGACAATGAATGAGTCTGTTTTGCTTTTAAAGTCAGGCCACCCAACTTAATTAAAAGGTGGTCAAGATAAGTTCAAATCAAACGTGTGCAGTATTTCCTCCTAAAATGTTCCTTAGTCGCTAGGAGAAGACTTTAGTAAAAATGTTTTTTCGAAAAATAAATGTTTTTTGGTATTTATTTATTTATGTTTGCTTAGTGAACGCAAAGTATCACTCCAAGGTGGGATGGACAGGGACATGGGTCATGGTGTTGAAGGGTAAAGGAGACGATCAGTATAAAGTGTCACTTACAAAATTTATTTTTCTTAATTTCCTTAGAGGTTATTTCTTTATTTTCGAGGTAATGATATCCAGTAATAGTATTCGGAAGTTTTGCTATAATGTGAATCAGTACAGTCATGATTTATATATTTATTTGTTAATCAATTAATTGTGTGTGATCCTAAACTAGTTGAGATTGATTATGAGTTATGACTTTTTACGAGGATCATCTATTTTCATTTAGAGGATTTGTACTCACATAAACATTTTTATAAGATTAAAATTATTCTATTTTTTTTTAAAAAAAAAATTATAAATTACATAGAAGCAAGAAGAGTTATTTATCATTAAATTTACGCGGTTCAGTTGGTACGTTGCATCGCTCAAGGCGGCCTGAGGAATATTTCATTTTTACAGGAAGAGTTAAATGTCATGGCCTGGTTGTTACCCCTTTGCTACTGCGACTTCTTTCATTTAACAATTTTACAAGACTATTGAGATTTTAAACGCCTTACAGTAAAGACTTCTTTCATTAAAAATTTTACAAGACTATTTGAAATTTTAGACGCCTTACCTTCAACCCAATTCGATGCCCTCAACACCATCTAGCAACTAGCAACATTGTGTATTTCTAACATCAGATGTAGAAATTATTTATTAGCACCATGACGGAAATATAAACATTGCACTGAAAGATTCCATTATAGGAGTCGACTCATTTGAGAAAAAAAAATGTCATGGGAGATAATTGGTGAATAACTCAAATCACCTTGTAGCCTAAAGTTAGTTCAGTTAACCTACAACTCCAAAAAAAAACACATCGCTATAACTTCATTTTCCTGAAAACAAGAGAACTTCAAAGAAAAAAAGGAGACAAGATCAGAGAGAAATTTCTTTTATCATGAGAATAATTTCCAGTACTACTTTGTATTTAATGGTGATCCCAGCCGCGCAATATGCCACACTGTTTTTCTTTGCATTGTTTCAGTAACCAAGAAAGAAACGCAAGACTTCAGAGACATACATTTGAATTCATACTGCAAGCTAAACTAATCATCTATGCTAACATTTAACAGGTAACATCACCATACTAAGAACCGGATCAGGCAAATCAGAATAAAAGAACAGCACATTGGGCGTCGTTTATTCATACAGCACCAGATTTGAAATAAGCAAGTTGAACAACCTCAAGGTAACAATAAAATAAATGGAATCATTTCAACATCAACAGATTCAAAAAGGGCAACCACAAGGTAAGATAAAAACTAGACAGGTAGATCAGATCCAACAAGTTATGGAAGTCTCAAGATCCGTTCTTTATAAAAATGCCAAGTTGGAACACATACTTTTAAAATTTTAAGCACATTAATCTTTCAAAGGGCAATAAAAACTAAGATAGAAGGTCCCAAAATTTTACTTGCTCTAACACTTGAAATATCAAAATGAAGCTACCACTAATAGCCTCTCAAGTAACTGTCTCGAAGGCCTCAAGCAGAAGCTACTCCCTTCTTCCTTGGAGCTGCTTCAGTACCTGGACGAACAAGCGTACGAATTTTATTATTATCTCATACTTGTTATTACCAGATATTCTTGATGACCAATTGGCAATGTCTACTACACAAACTCAGACAAGCTAAACAAAGGAACAATCACACGGAATTATAGGTGTGCATCTTTTAAGCTCAACTAATATGTAGTCAACTTAAAACACCAATAGGTACATTGGTTAGGGGGGAAATACTGAGTGAAAACAGCTTTATCTTGAAATTAATTTACTAAAACTATTTTAGGTATTCAGTTCTGGTTTCTTGGAACTAATTATAAACACTTGGACTTGCTTGATAGCTGGTTTGGAGGTTAGATATACAGATATGTGCAAGTAATAGTATGTTTGGTAACTGGTTAGAAGGTAAGGTATTCATGTTAAAAACTAATATTGTGTCTGGTTTCCATTTTAGAAAACCAGATAAAAAATATATGCACAAGTTATGAAGGAATCTAAGTACTATAATATGCTAGATAAAAGGTGTAATTAAAAGACATAAATAAATACCTATATAAAATAACACATAAATTCCTTCACCACTAATTATTGCATTGGAATAACTGCATAACTCTACCCAACTACCCAACAACCCCTCAATTTACTATAGACCAAGGGTGCAATATGCAACATCAGTCAAGGTAAAAGGGTAGTCACAGCGTGTACTATAACTGCATGGTACCTCACTCATACAAAGTGGAAGACAATGTACATCAATAGCATTTATTACTCTCATCAACCCCTGGTTATGTGACACTTTCTTTCTAAAAAGGAAAGGAATCGACAACTTTCTATCTTTAAAAACACATTATTTTTTAAACTTCTTAAACATTGTGCCCAGTTGAACAACTTAACAGATGAGAAAGAGGTAGTAGTCATATTAGCAATGAAGGTTGAAAACAATATCTAAATATTTGTCTAGGCAAGTATATGGGATATCTGTAAAGTAAAATGACTTTTGTCTATAACTAGAGGAAATAAGGTTTCCCATTTTAGAAGTAAGCAATCACTCGAAAATGATTTCATAAATTCTATAAACAATGTTATCCATACCAAAGGCACACTCAATCCTAAATAAAAAGTAAATTAGCAAATCTTAAAATGCAGAAACACTATAATATGTGTACCTTCTCTGAAATTGGTCTTGAACCTGCGAGGGACGTTACGAAGATACCTCATGCGGCCAGTTCCAGTTGTCTTTCTGCGGATAGCCTTCACACTCCAGTTGTCTGCAAATCATTCATTCAGAAAAGCATGTAAAAAAAGAGAGTACAACTCCTATCAGAGGATTGATATTCTGATATAATGTATAATATTACAAGTGTTAGGATTATAAGTATTACATGTCCTTTTACGGGCAGCAGGGTAAGCACAAGCAGAGCAACGGCTCTTCTGGAGATGGAAGCTCCGTCTTCCACACCTCACACATAGTGTGTGGGTCTTGTTCCTCCTCTTACCGAAGCTTCCTGTTCCCTTACCCTATATAGTAAAATCCACACGTTCAATTACAGATCACCTTTAGCGAACTTACAAAAACATATGCACTACTTTTCTATAATCAGAACCATTTTTTTTATCTGTGCAGGTCATTCTTCAATATTCACTGTAGTTCCATTCAATTTTAGTTTTCGAACCATTTCGTGATTTGTGATTTCTACCAATTCGATGAGGAAAACGAAAAGGTATACGTTAACAGGAAAAAGGATGAAAGAGTTAGCTTCACTTACCATTACGCTACAGTTGCAGAAACCCTAGCGACCTCCTCCTGAGCTTTCTCAACTGAGAACTGCGGCGATCTAGGCAGTGCTTATAGTTTGGTAGTGAAGGAAGAAGGCTTTTAGGGTTGTTTCTAAAGTGATAATGGGCTTGAATTGGGCCCAAGGTAATTGGACTAAATCAATATATTCAAGCTTTTCGGTAGAATTAGCATTCACTAGCCACATTTTGGTCTTGCCTTTGAAAAATAGCCTCTTTGTGTGAGATTTTAAATTTCTATCTTGCTTAATCACCACTCTGGTTCCTTTTTCGGTATACCTTTACCTCTTTAAACCCACCTATACTATAGTCAACCACTTGCACCTCAAAGTGAGGTAATGAGATTTTAGATTTTATTTGAGTAATTGAAGGCCAATTCAATTTTGATTCTAAAAAAAAATTATCATGATTACAAGGTTTTTCATTCTCGATTAAAAAAAAATTAATCACAACTATGAACGAAACATACTTGATCTATATCCTCTTCACATATCTAAATTATCTCAATTTTGCTTCCCTAGTCTTGTACTCAACAAAAGTCACTCCCGCCTTGGCATGGTATGATTTTATTTCCAATCATATCCCTCTTTTCACACATTCATTTGAACATTCTCTTAAATGTTAATGTTCTTGACTGGTTAACACTTAGTCTTATATAACAATGTTGGTCCAAACACCATTCTATAGAACTTACACTTTAAACTTACATTCTCACTACATGATACCCCAAAGACGAGCCACCAACGATGTGTGACATCATTATTAATCTTTCTGTCTCTTTGAATTATGGACCTATGATACTTGAAACTTCCTCTTTTAGGTATGACAAAGTTCAAACATACTTTGAGAAAGTTTGTGCACATGTTCACAAGCGTCCTTACGCAATCAAATTAATTAATCATTTGAAATATGTGTCCTTCTTTGATTATGCACTTCAACATTAATCGTCAATCAAATAATGTATGAATTTTTACAACTTATTGAATTTAAAATATATAACAAAAGTATGCAATATATTACTTTTTAAGTGTTTAACTTATTTACATAATAATAATAATAATAATTACTTTAGAAAAAAACAAAGTTACCTCCCTCAAGAGAGGAAAAGGGAAAAAGAACACAGAGAGCACAACTAAGCGCGGGAAAGACAACTGCTGCAAACGGCAGCACACTTGTATGCGAGAAACAGAAGAAAGAAGAAAACCCTAGTCCCTTTGAACTTCAATTTTGTATTCAGAGAGATGGAAGAGAGAAGGGAATTTCCGGCATTTCCGTACGAACCCTATTCCATTCAGCTTGATTTCATGAACGCCCTTTACCAATCCCTCAATAAAGGCGGCGTTGCCATGCTCGAAAGCCCCACTGGTATATATATCTTCACCACTTTCTTATACAAATGTAAAAAAATATATATATATGCTTTTATATTACTCACATTAATTTAGAGGTTGTTTAGTTACTTTTTTTCCATTACACCCATAGAAAGAGCCTGTTGTAGCAGGGTACATAGTTGACTGCATCTAGTTGTGATTGTTTTTGTATGGTTTCGGTTAAAATCAGCATATACACTGTGAAGGGCTTAAACTCTGCCTCTCTTAAATTTACTCAATTGGGTTTTTTGAACCGATATTCAGGGACTGGTAAAACGCTTAGTATAATTTGCAGTGCTCTTCAATGGCTTGTTGATAAAAAGCAACATCAGAAAACCCAGATGGATTCTTCTTTGAATTTAGGTGGGAATCAGGAAGATCAGTTGGGGGTTGATGATGAACCAGATTGGATGAGGGACTTTGTCATTAACAAAGATACCAAATCGCCTGAGAAGAAGACAAAGGAAAAGAAGCAAATGGGGTTCAACAAAAAAATTGATAGGAAAGGAAAAAGGGACAATGTGAGAGATTTAATTACTAACGGGGGTGGGAAGGATGAAGAAACTGACACTGAAAAGGTAAAGAATTTACTGACAAAACATGAGGTTGAGGGAATGGATGAAGAGGAGTTTTTGGTTGAAGAGTATGAGAGTGAAGATGAAAATGGAGGGCGATCGAAAAGGAAGGGTGGTGGGGTGCCGGTTAATTCCTCGAGTGAGGAAGAAAAAGATGAAGATAACATGGAAGATGAAGAGGATGAGGCTAGACCCAAAATTTACTTCTGTAGCCGGACACATTCACAACTTTCACAGTTCGTAAAGGAGTTAAGGAAGACTAGATTTGCTGATGAAGTAAAGGTTGTATGCTTAGGATCTAGGAAGAATTTCTGCATTAATAAAGGTACTGAAGATAGACTGCTTTTTGAGCTTGTTCTTTTGTAAGTAAAAAATTTGCAATCTTGTTGAAATTTTTCAGTGAACATTTCTAATGCTAATGTCTTGGGATCCGTTGGTTTCCATTTCAGATGTATTGAAGTTAGGCAGCTCCACCCAGATAAATGAGAAATGTTTGGAGCTTCAAAAAAGTAGGAAGAAGGAAATTTCTAAAATATCAAAGACAAAGGTATGCCTAGCTGGATTCTCACCCAGTTTCTATTGGCATATGCAAGTATTCTAGTTAACATATAGATGGTAAAAGAACCATTACCTGATTAAGTTTATAAATGTGTTGATAGGTAGCTGTTGTATACTAAGCAAGACATCTTACACGTCATCTCTGGCATAACCTGAAGTAGAGATCTATTCTTCTAGTATCAAAATGTAATTCTTCTCATACTTTTACCATTTTATTAGATTATAACATGAAGCTCAACCTTTTTTAAAAATTGACATAATTTTACTCTGCAATTGGTGTTCACTTGGAATTTTACGATGCCAATGCTGCTGAGGAACACGTTCTAATAGTATCAGCATGATGTAATCATTATATAAATATGTGACTTTTATTTTATGGAAGTCATAGACTATGTATTTGTTTAGATTCAGCCTATGACAAATAGTTGTATGCTCCAAATTGGAACTCCTTAACTTCACTTACTAATTTATATGCAGAACATCAGAGCTTGTGGCAGAGCAGGAAGGTCCAAGACTTCCTCAGGATGCCCAATGCTTAGGAATCAGAAAAGAGGAAAAGAATTTCGAAGTGAGGTTTCTCAACAAGGGCCCTTGGATATTGAGGATCTTGTTCAGATTGGAAATGACTTAAAAATTTGCCCTTACTATGGCTCAAGAAGCATGGTCCACACAGCAGATCTTGTGGTTCTTCCTTATCAATCGCTTCTTTCAAAATCATCGCGTGAATCACTTGGTTTAAGTTTAAAAGATAGTGTTGTTGTCATAGACGAAGCTCATAATTTAGCTGATTCTCTCGTCAGCATGTACAACGCAAAAATTACACTGTCACAGGTAAAGAAAATTTTCCAATCATTGCCATCAGCCACACACAACCATCCCATCTGGCACTACCCAACACTTAAATATTCTTTTCTTTGTGTTTTACTTCCTAGTATTCACATTGAAGAAACATCCAATTAATGGATCTGCTTCATTTTCAGTTGGAACTTGTGCATTCACACTTGGAGAGTTACTTCATACGCTTTCGCAATCTGCTAGGGCCAGGCAACCGAAGATATATTCAAATAATGATGGTCCTTACTCGGGCTTTTCTACAAGTTCTGCGTGATGAGAACTGTCAAAGCACCTTTGACCCCCTTTGTAATGCTGAGCGAAGTAAAAGTGGCTTTGAGTCATCCACGGCGATAAACGAGTTTCTATTTGCCCTCAATATTGACAACATAAATCTGTATAAGCTCTTGTTGTATATAGAAGAAAGCAATATTATGCACAAGGTACATAATTTCTGACTCTTTACTAGTTGTACATCTATCTCTTTCCCTCTTTAATATCGTTTAGTTTTGAAGACCTTTGAGCTCTCAGGTATGTGGATATGGACATAAATTAGCACTCTCCGTAGAAGTTTCAGGATTGAAAAATGACGATCAAAGCAGTCATGATGAAAGTGCATTATCTGGTTTCCAAGCATTAGTTAACATGTTACTGTCACTAACAAATAAAGATGGTGATGGAAGAATAATAATATCAAGGCCAAGGCCAAAATGCTCAATGCAACAAGGAGGGTATTTGAAATATGTCATGCTCACAGGAGAAAAGATATTTTCTGAGGTTTGCTAGCAACTTCATCTTTTTACATTCCAAAGTTCCCCCGCAAAGGCATTTATGGAAAACCATTTTCTTCTGCACTACTACTTGCAGATCTTGAATCAAGCTCATGCTGTCATATTTGCTGGCGGGACTTTGCAACCTATAGAGGAAACAAAAGAACGCCTGTTTCCTTGGTTACCACCGGATCAGTTGCATTTCTTTTCCTGTGGTCATATCATCCCATCTGCAAACATTCTACCAGTTGTTGTTCCTCAGGGGCCTTCTGGCCACTCCTTTGATTTTAGTTACAGCGCCAGAAGCTCATCAGTCATGGTATGCAAGTCTTCCATCATATATGCCTGTTTTAAGTAAAGAATTCCACAACTGAATTCTCCCATTGTCTGTGAATGTGCTACATGGATACTGCATTCACTTATGTTATCCCAGCAAAATTCCAGATTTCCAGTTTCCATTAATTAGAAGTTGTTGCTTTGACATTCAGTTAAAATATTACCGTAAAGTACACTCTTGAATCTGACATACTCATGAACCTATATTGGCAGATAAAAGAACTAGGGCTTTTGGTCTCCAATTTGGTAAATGTAGTTCCTGAAGGCATGGTTCTTTTCTTCTCATCATTTGACTACGAAGGCCAGGTCTATGATGCATGGAAGGAGTCGGGCATCATTGGAAGAATTATGAAAAAGAAGCGTATATTTAGAGAACCTAGAAGAAGTACAGATGTGGAAACTGTTTTGAAGGAATACAAGGAAACAATTGATGCACTGTCCCATAGAAGTTCTAAGCGGGATCCTGAATCAAGAAATGGTGCAATTCTCCTTGCTATTGTGGGTGGGAAAGTATCAGAAGGTATCAACTTCAGCGATGGGATGGGTCGATGTATAGTCATGGTTGGATTGCCCTATCCTAGTCCTGCTGACATCGAGTTGATGGAGAGGATCAAACATATTGAAGGATTTGATACTTCTAGTGGTAAGAACACCAAATTTCAGGCTGAAAGAAGCTGGTATAATGGAGATGCTCAAGCTGGGCTGGACATCCTAAAAAGCTGCAAGCATAGAGGGAAGCAGTATTATGAGAATCTTTGCATGAAAGCTGTGAATCAATCAATTGGTGAGTGCTGTATCCAACTTGTCTTTGGATAAACATTTATGCATGGACTAGAACCAAAAAAAATATGAAAAGGCTCTCTTTTCAACTATTCCCCCCCCCCCCCCCCCCGTTAATCTCACAGACTTTCCTTTACTCCTAGAAACCCTTCAGCTAGCTGCAGTATAGATCTCTTGATCCTTAAATATAACTTAATATTTGATATAATGAACAACCACTTTCAGTAATCCTTAAGCTTATTCATATTTTTATGAGGATTTTCATATTCCAGTCTTTTCAATTATCTGCTGTAGGTAGAGCAATTCGGCATATTAACGACTATGCTGCCATCCTATTAGTTGATAAACGCTATACATATGATCCTTCTGAAAGAAGCTCCTCACAGTCAACCAACAAGCTGCCCCAGTGGATTAAAGGTCGGCTTGTTTCTGGAACAAAGAATTATGGAGAACTCCAGAGGCTGCTGCATCAATTCTTCAAGTTCCACAAAGGCAAAGAGGATAACCAGTAAGAGGTCATGGCCTAAATCGCAGACCTCATGAATTAATGTATCGGTATCAACAAAAATTGAGATGCACTAATTTTGGGATGTACAGCAATGATAAATTATATATTGAATTAATCTGCCAAATCATTTTCATGATTGTTGTATATGTTTAACTGAATTCCAGCGTGTACTGATCAAAATTGGCCTGCACTTTGCTTATTGTTGTTGTATGATGTATGATATCCGCAGCTTAACTATAAACTCGTCAGCCTTCTAATTATCAGTGTAACAAAAGATACAGAGTTAAATTATTGCAATTTTATGATTCAGCTGTTGTCATGACTTACAAAACGGCTGTAGTTATCCTCAAACAGAGAAGAGGTTTTCTTCGCGGCACTTCATTAACCACTAGGTTCCACACAGTCGCAAAAAATATCAGGGGTTCTTTCTATTTGTACAAGTCTTGTGGACACAGTTACATACATGTGCTAGTTAGTGGGACATATTAGTCGAGATGCATGTAAGTTGATCCGGACGTCACAATTATTTTAAAAAAAAGGAGGTTTCCTTCAGCAGAGGTATTCACCTCCTCATTTCCATCAGTTTTGCCCTCTTATCCTATTCAACCAACATTATACCAATCCTTTTATAGGTAGGGTCCCAAAAGACAGCTCTTTAATTTAAAAGAACTCGACATAATTGATGCAGACAGTACTAATTACTTGATTAAAGGAAAATTCAGTCCTTATTTCATGTATTACTTGGGGCCCAGTTGTCTCAAACTGTATTGAATGTAATTTAGTGTGTGCTTAATTATAGGTAATAATCACTTTAAGCATCCTCCAACACACTGATCAACTTTCCCTTTTTCTTTATAATGAATGCTGCAACACTTTCAGCAGCATTATAGTCAAAAAGAATATCACGCAAATAGAAAAGATATATAAGGATGACGCTCCTAGGCCGGCTCTCGGAGACAAAACGCTCCGAATTAATAGTAATTAAAAAAATATCAGGTTATTTCTTCTAATTTAATTACCTAAACCTCGGTAGACAGAGTTATCCGAAATTTTGTTGGTAAGAGGTAGCATGTACTCGGAGTGCACAAGTCGAAGGGCACACAAGTTGTACAAAATACCATAGCATGTACACTAGTCGAAGTGCACACAAGGTGGCCAAAATATCGAAAAAGAGAGATATATTGGGGAACACAATTAAAGCAAGTAAGTCAAGAGAAGAAAAAGAAGAGAATGCCCTTGTCCCCATCACTTTCATCAGTACATGTTGAAAACTATTTGGATATCTAAAATTTAAGGAGGGAAATAAGTTGCATTATCTGTTGCTAAGAAGATAGAGAAAGATAAAAGCCACATGGGGATGTTGTACAGAAAGCCACAAATGCTGCTTAAGAAAACCTTTCAAAAGACCAAGAACCTCTTCTTCAAAACACTACATAATCTCAATTCATTTCTATTTAAAAGTCATCACAAGTTACCTAAAGTTTGTCACTTCAATCCCTTCTTCTCTCGTAGCAACCGAATTCCAAACAGCATTATTCAAGAATTGGACGATTACTACAGAGACTTTCCTCAACAATGGGAATGTAGTAACCAAAACGAAGTTCCACAGAGAAAGAGCATACGCGAAGAATCAGTAAACAACACGAGGAAAGTACAGAAAGAAAAAATGGAAGATGCATTGCTTCGAAACACAAGTAAAGGTGAGGTATTAGTACAGAAGATGAAGGAACTAGAGATGATGGATGAGGAAGATTTGGATCAAATGATGGACATAAAAGAAGTTCTCTACTACTACTCTTACCTAAAATGTCCAGTTTACCTTGACATTGTTGACAGGTATTTCATGGACATGTATAATGAGTTATCACTTCCACAGACATTCATCAATGTCAACAGTTAAATGTTAAGTCTTGGTCACATTAAGCTCTAGAAACTACAGAGAAAATGTTTTTGCTTACTAATGAAAGTTTTCGAGCTTAGCTAACTTCTTTTGTCTGTTAATTGCCATGCCATGTACTTCTATATTGAAAAATTTCAGAAAACCTCATTAGATCTGAGTTAATTTCTCAGACGATCATTCAACTAGTAGTTATTACCTCAGAAAATTGGAATCAAGAAGTAAAGTGACTTTCAGAGTTGACATTTATTAATTGAATGACCATATGAGGAATCAACCCTATTCGATTTGTATTTCTTGAGCATGTTTCTTTACAATGTCAAATAAGTTATTTGACACTAAAAATAATAATATTTTGGTTGTAATTTGTTTCAAGAAGTGTCAATATAGCAGAGCGATTAATGATTTTTACCATCTGCAAACCTAAAGAGAAATTGTAACACATTTCTGTCCTTTATGCTGCTAAATAAACTCTAAGAGCATTTAAATTTCATGACAAGAAAGAAAATAAACCCCATGGGGGACGTATGTCTAATTGAAGAGATCAAGAAGGCTATCTCAACACCTATAGCCGCTGAAGCCTGAATTGAGCATTTTGTTGAAGCTTTGGAGTATACTACATAAATGAAAGTTACATTACACTATTTTAATCTTGGATGTTAAACCATGTCCACAGGAAGTGCAGTTGATACGAAAAGACTGATATTACATTTCAGCTTGAGGTATAAACCATACAATTGGTATAATGAATAATATAAAATGAGACAACACAGCTCAATGACTACTTACTCCTATATTAGAATGCATTTTCAGTTTGAATATTCGCGTGAACTTCTTTGTTGTTGTTGATGAAAAGGCACCTTAAGGCAGTTTCATAGGCAGTGAATATAGCCCCATTCACTACAAATGCTCTGGCAACTGCAGTTCCCAAACCTCTCCAGAGCACATTATATCCCTCTTGTTTCACACTTCTCCTGAAACAATCAACAATGCCAGTATATCTCAATGGTGTAGATTGTGACTGAGCCTGGAATCGGGTTTTAATAACATCTAAGGGATAGCAGCATATCCAGCTAGCTACTCCTGCAAGACCACCTGCTATAAGCATTGTTCTAAAGCTCTCTTGACCATTCTTACGACATCCTGGATGAAGTTGCTCTCTTACATACTCGTATGTCCAGAAATATAGGCCGTGAGCTGGTGCATCTCTGAGGACTGTAATTGTTAATCCGCGATAAATTCCCCTCCATCCTTCTTGTCTGAATATGTTTCTTGCCACATCAGTTGGACCCTTACAACTAGTCATTTGATTTTTGTTATCCAGGATGTTTCTCTGTTGCAACTGAAGTCGAATTTTCACAAGTTCGACAGGAGTGAGCATTAGGCTTTGTAATGCTCCTGTTCCAAATCCACCTAAGGCCACTCCTTTGTAGGAGGGTGGATCACTGGCTGGAACATTCCTGTCCAATGCTCGAGATAGCACTGCATAAATCTGAAATACCATGGCGTTCTGCAATAGCAAAGAAACTATTTTACACATTGTAGAAATTAATTAAGTTCAGGGATTATTAGACCCTATATCGATTAGTCTTACAAATAAGAACAACAATGAGTTACATGTATCAAGTTGAAGATTTGCTCAAGGTTCATATGTAGCAAACTTGTACCAATCTGTAAACTGTGGCAGCAAATTAGCTAAAGTTGCAAAAAATTAACATATCAAATTATGCATGAAATACAATTTAAACCTATAGTGTATGTTCTCATGAGAAGTGAATAATACTCCAGTTGATAGCCCATCTTCACTTATATATTATTTTTTTGACTTAAATATGTGAGCCGTTTGTATTATGGCAAGGTCATATATGAGTCACTTTCATAACGAGGGGTATATCAGCTCCAAATGGCAAAGTTGTGAGGTATATCAGACCCTTTTTCCTTGTTTAAATTATAACTTTAATTTTGGTGCAATCGAATGTTACCTATTTCTCCCCTCATCTTGCTCTTATTTTTTGTTTAGTAGTCCTATTTTATTAACATTCAGTACAAATATGTATTGGTGTGGCAACCAAACAATGAACTAACAATCATTTCTTCAAAGACTACATATCTACAAAAGGTCTAGGCATAGTGATCTAGTCCTACTAGTTTGTTTGTAAGCTTATGCTTCGAACATCTCTCTTGCACTATTCTTTTGGTTACCATGTGTGGTTTGCTGGACTTAGCCTGGAAGACCTGATTATTCCTTTCCGTCCAGATATAGTTAACTGCAGCTGCAATGCTCATTCGAAAGATAGTGGTGTGCTGCTCCGTTTCCTTGTGCATTTCTGTTGGCCCACTCAAGCTCATCTTGTCAAGTGCTAGCTGGTCTCTAGTTATTCCTTGTCAATATAACAGCTGTGTCCATATGTTTTTAGAGTAATCACAAGTAAAAAAGAGATGTTCACTTGACTCAATACCCTCACTACATAAGACATACTGTTGGTTATTTGTGACACCCCAATTCATTAGCCTATCGTTGATATATAGCATGTTCAGTATAGCTAATCTTGTAATGAATATCCATTTAGCTGCTCCCTGTTGTTGATAGAATATTGTTGCATATTTTTCAGGTTTGCTTCTTGAAACCCTAGAGCTTGTACATCCTATTTTACCTTTTATCGTAGAGCTTGTAGGTCCTATTTTACCTTTTATCCTACTTTTTCTAACTTTACTCTGTTAAACATACATTATATTCATCCAAACAATATAATATCATACAGTATTAAATAATACGTAACAACCATCTAAATAGAATTATATTCATCCAAACAATATAATATCATACAGTATTAAATAATACGTAACAACCATCTAAATAGAATTGGTGGTGTGGGAAAATAGTTCATATAATAAAATAAAGGATGTTTAAGTGCTCATGTCATTTGAGAATGTCCATTCTTTTCCTGCTAGAATACTAGTTACTAGTTAATGACTTAATTCCCTTTTTTTTCTTCCACAAACGGATATGAATCACCAATGAATGAAGATTTGATGACTAAGACTCCATTTATTTATTTATTTATTTATTTATTTATGATGGAGACTCGTGGTCTCTAAATTCTAATATTTATTACTTTTATTATTATTATTATTGTTAAGCAAGCTTAATTTGGTATTAGTTCCGTGAACGTAAAAAATCCAATTGAGGACCCAACAGTCTCTATCTCTCTTTGTTTGGTAGTTACAAAATATAACTATTACGTGTTATTAGACCTCTTCACTTATCTCCACGTAATACCCATCTCAATCTTTTACGATGTTTGCTTTTTGTAACTGTGAAATTTTGGACTCCTCATCTTCGGCGAGAAACAGGGCAAAGTAATACGCAGTGAAATTAAAATTTTATTTTTATGAATTTTAAACATAAAACATATTTATTTGAATATAATGAGTTTGATGGAATCCACCTGCTCTAATAAGCTTAGCTAGGAGAAACTCAGGGGAGAAGTCTGATTTATATACATGAATAAACATTCATTTTACGCGTGTGATTCAGATGCGAATTCAAAATTTTGACAACTTCAATTTTATATATATACAATTAGTAAAAACCGTAATTACTGCTGGATAAAAACAAGGAATGACCTGAAATGTGACGGAAGCGAGAGGAGCAGCCATGCCTCTGTATAGAGCCAGAGGTCCTTCAGTGGCGGCAACACGGCGGAGGATGTTGAAAGCAGAACCAGGCGTACAACTCTGTTGACGGACTCTAATAGTATCAAGAGGATAACCAGATACGATACCTGCGATTCCTCCGAATCCGCCAGCCACAAATTCTTTTCCCCAACTACTTGCTAAAAACTCTGGCCAGAAATCCATATCTGCATTAATTAATTTCCCCAATCAAATAATCTTCAATTTTATAACCGTTTCTCTCTCTCTCTCTCTCTCTGAAACTGAATTAGATTATCCAGTCGTAAGCTGCCTAACTCTTATTTAACACTTGCTAACATTTAACGTGATTAAATTTTATCTCTTTTTTTGGGGTAGGCATATATATAAGTAGACGATGAGTCTAAAAATGTAATCCTAATATCATGAAATAATGGAGTAAATAAATTAAATTTGATATTGGGACTCGGTTATGATTATAGTCTCTGCACCTTTTTGTTTGCTTCTTATAAAGGAGCAAGTGTGCACTGCAGAATCATAAATTTCATTTTTTTATTCAGCGTTAAATTATTTAGATAGTTATGTTAATGTTCGACTAATTTAATAAAGATGATGTTGACCATCAATTTTCTTTTTTATATCCAAATTCAAATATGAGATATGATAAAGGAAAAAAACAATCTCATCTGCGTCATAATATTTATCCAAAATTATGAAAAACTGCAACTGATTTTAAATTTTTATCTGTTATCCAAGATTATGAAAATCTGCAACTGATTTTAAATTTTTATCTGTCCACCGAGGAAACGGCCAACAAATTCTTCGTTGTGCACAGCCCAGCACATATGATGTACGTGAACCAGTAAATTTCAGTTACAATCGGTCAAGTGGAGCTGCATAGATATTCGGACCAACAATTGATAATGGACCCATTTAATTTTGAAATAACAAGTGATAGAATTTTAATACTTGTTTGTCGAGATTATTTGTAGTTATTATGTAATGTTGTTAAATTTACTATTTTAGAATTTTTTATTTGTTAAATTTATTATTTTAGATTTTTTTTAAAAAATGATTAATAGACTTTCAGATTAATTGTTTTTGAAAGTTATGAATATCCTAATTATGTAGAAGTGGATAACAATATAATAAATATTCAAAATACGTAGATTATATTTTGAGATATTAATAAATCATTTCTAAATTTTTTTTCAGAATAATATTCGGAAACACCAAAAAAATAAATTAGATTTGGTACTCTATTTTTAGATTTATGATTTCACTGCTCACACTTTGGTTGACTTAAAAGTCTTACCTGCAAATTATACTACTAGTATATTATGGTCGTCCCAAAAAAATTTCTGGTTATATGTAAAATCAGATATATGATAAGCTGATAAAGGAACTCAAAATAGTTCAATAATTCTTATTTTTTTAAAAATAATCTACGGTAAATTAATATAAGATTTTCATCACCATATAATTTGGTGTTGGATGTCGTGGATGAGATTGTTTATCCCTTAACAAAAAATTTCAGATTTAGGTCTTAGATAAAAAATCTTATTACGGAACACTTCTACATTTAAAATAAATACAAATATTATACGTCAAATCGAATAGAAAATGAAAAGTATACTCGATACTCGTCAATTGATGGATATTCATAACGAATTAATTTAGCCATTAAAACTTGAATTTGATTAATTTATCAGTCCTTTTCTGAGTTCTCTCTGTGCTTTTTTATTTTCTATATATAGGTACTTCATGTGCATTTTAAGACTATTTGATTATTGATCTTGACTTATACCAAAAGTTTCACTTTGGAAATTAATCATTTTGTATTAAAAATAATTTTATTTTCATAACATTGAATTCCAAAATTTAAATATAACAAAATTCATAATGGATATTCTTTAAAAATAATCAGATCAAAAAATGATAAGTAGATGCTTTTTCTATCAACCCAAAATATAGCGAATTGAAGCAATAAAAAATATGTAGATCGTCAAAATAGGATTAAAACTTTTACAAATCGTAGCAATATTATCTCTGTATATGCATTATACATTTCTTTTATATACATACCAATAATAATGGCTATAAACGTTAAAGATAAAGAAGAGTGTGGATTCTTTTGAGAATTAGCAAACTAATCTTAACAATTTTTTTTTTTGAAATAACAAGTACAATAGACATAATAAGACTATATAACTATAGTTTTGATAATTGCACTCCATAGCCAGGGTCCATCTGGTCTTCAGGAGATTCACCCGACCCCCTCAGCAAAAAATTTACATTGTATATATAAAGTAAATTTTCTATATTTCTATAGATATATATATTTTGAACTTCTCAACAAAGAGAAACTGATGGCACAGTGGCAAGTCCCCCTAAATTAAAGTGCACGCCATTGGTTTTAATTTCTGTGAAAGCGTTTTATTTTTTCAGGTTCAGTTTTTTTTTTTTAGTTTTTCTTTTTAATTTTCAGTTCTATTTTTCATTTTTTTTCAATTTCTTTTTACTCTAGAAAACATTTTTAAAATGTGGTTTTAAAATTCGAAAAATTCAAAATTTCCATTTCTAAAGGCTTATTTACATATTTACTATTTTTATTTTTCGATTTTCCTGAACAAAAATTCTAAATTGTCATTGTCCATAGCTATCATTTTGTTTGCTATAGAGACTGCGATTTATATAATTTCATTTGTTTATATATTTTGCTTCCAAAATATACAAATTACAAAAAATTGTTTTATAGATATTCATGAGGATTCATTGCTCCGCACTTTGATTTGGGCCACAAGGCAGCCTCAGATTGGGCTCCAGGTTAGCCTTCAGAACCCAAATTTAACACACAAATATGGCTTGATTGGCTATGTTTGAAATTCTAATCATATGATAAGACTTTTGTTTTAATGAATAATAATTATTTTTATTCGATAGATATTTAATTATATTATCCACATTCTACACATGTTTGAGTCTTATTTATTTGATAAAAAGTATACAAAATTCTTTTATTTTAAAAATGCATGTGATTTTAGAATGCTGCAAAAAGTAATTCATATTTCTTAAATTTTATGTCCACTCAAATTACATTAAATTATTTATATGTACCTCTTAATTTTAGAATAATTAATAATAAGGGCAAAGTTGGAAAAAATCAATTCTTTCTTGGTTTTTAGAATTCACAAATATTTATGAATAATCATATTTTATATATACGACAATTAAAAAAGGACGGAGAATGTAATTCCTATTGCAATCAATAGTTAATGATATATAAATTTGAATTTTGATTATAATAATCTTTTAAAACTTACTAAAAAGATAATATCTCATATAAATTGAAACAGAGTGAGTAAAAAAATATATATAACTCTCGTCTTTTCGAAAGATAGTCTCTCGAACAAGTAAAGTAAATTTATATTTTGGTCTAATTTCATGTGCTCACAATATGTGAATATATATATATGCTTGAGCAGTAAGGCAAAGGCAGGAATTTGATCTCGCTTTCTAATGAAATATTCTTTCCAAATTAGTATATACATAGCCCCAACCAACACAAGTAAATATAGTTTGTGCTTCAAGTTTTTTCTGAGTCCAACATTGAAATTTCAATTAAATTCGTATCAAATATTACAAAGCTTATTTTGAAGTGGCGTTCTCAATTATACTCAAAGCTCAAATCTAAGACCTTTAATTAATGGTGAATCATTTCTACCAATAAACCATAACTCTGACAGGCTTTTATAATTAGAAGTGCAATTAAGCTCTCTTTGCTTTGCTTAATTACATAAAAGATTTTTTTTTTTTAAAAAAAGTTAGGCTTTCTAATATATGTCGATATCTCCAAAGTAACCGCCCTATGTTTTTTTATGATGACTAGAAAACCACTTTGCTAGCCTAGCTCTTTGTTTTTCTCGATATAACTTTTGGCAGGTAATTCATATTAGTTCAATTGCACTTTTATCAAGACTTTGCATGTGTATTTGTTTCTATTAAACCCAATCAAAACCTCTGCTCCAAATTAAAGTGCCATTTCATTTCATTTCTTTCACTGAGTTTCAATTTTCTAGTATTCCAACAAAAAAAAAACAAGAAAACTAAAGAAGCTGCATGATCCAATGGTATGTATGTCACTCTTAATTTCTTCTCCTTATTCTTCTTCAGCTTCAACATTAGCCTTATGTATGAGGCTTTTCCATTTTCTTAATTGTTTGTTTTGTTTTTTAGTTTTGAGTTCACTTTTTTTTGTAAGAAATTTGTTGTAGAATCACCCTTTTGGCGGAGTCAGGATTTTTATCATGGAAATTCAGAATGTAAAACAAGTATTATGAGAATTTAGATGAACCTCTTGCATGCGCCTTTACCTTCAATTTTTAATTTATATGATGTAGATTGAATGAACATAGAGTTTTAAGAAAAAGAAGATTTGAATATTATTATAAAGTTTTTGGAATTATTTGCGTTTTTGAACATGTCTTATTAGTAACATATTTGTCTAGTAGCTAAAACATCTTTGTCATTAAGGTAAAAATGAAAAATTGTTTCCAAATTGTTGTATGTATATATATACATGTATGTTTTGTAACTAAAAAAAATGTTGTAATTAATTGCTGTAGCTTATCGTGAGAATGATGTTTGGGTCTGTAGCAAGAACGACAAGGGCATTTATGATCCAACCGGTTTCGACCATGACAACATTGTTGTACTACAGCGATCGCCTCCCTCGTAACCTCAATTTGGACCGGCTTGTTCGTAATGACTTAATTGATAGTGGAAACTATTTGTTTCGTTTTCTTATTCACTTTTTGAGATGTTTTTGGTAGTTTCATTTTCACTTAATTAACCAAAGTGAAGTCTTGAAGCAACAATAAATAAAGTGAGTTCGAGCCGTGAAAGTTGTAACTCATGTTTATATTAGGATTAGGGATGTTTTGTACGTTGAATTAACATTTACTTTACTTAGTTAACTGATTTCAAATATCTTTTAACTTCTACCAATCTGTATGATATATTGAATATTATTTGAAAAAAAGATTAAAATTTCGTATAAAAGAAAATAATTTAGAAAAAACATTTGAAATTTCTGGAATACTATTTATCTGGAAATATTAAACAAATTGGTTGCATTATTAATTGAATAAGGGTCCGTATGGTCATGCGATATGATATCATAATATGAAATTATGAAATGAAAGGACACGCGTTATGAAATTATTTTCCTAAAAAACATCCGCCTAGTTATAAACATTAACATTATGGGTCGTGCACAACGCTAGCAACAGTAACTAATATGGTTATAATATTTTATCTTTTTAATTTTACTGTCTTTTAATTGAAAAATGGAAAAAATCAATTTATTTTAAAAATTAGAAAAGATATTATAGACTTTAGAATTTCTGATCATTTACAATTATCCGATATTATATAATGAGAAACACAACATACTATTTATGATGTACCATACATCTTTGAACATTTCAAATTTTATGCATAAATCGCATTTTGTTGCATTTCCTTGTTTTCCTCTTAGTTGCATTAATTGAATTTACAAAGTAGCCTATATTTTCCATTATATAAGAACTTTACTGTATTGCATATACTTCACCACTTTATTAAGTTATTCTCACATAAATACACCATATATTTAATAACTTTACTATGGCAAATTTAATAACCAATATAGATATAGAGATTGTTTTATATCTTGCTATTTTTTTTTAATCATTTTTCTTATAATTCTGCGTTGAATTGTATAGGGATGGTATACATTCTACATTGCTCAAATCATATTTGTAAAATTACACTTGAAATGTTATTAATTGTTGTTACTAAATATATATAGTCACAAAGATGATTTTGTTTCTTGCTATTTTATTGTTTCTTTTCTTATACGTTTTGAATTTTGTAATTTAAATAAGTCTATTTTGTATCATAAATTTTTCATACATTTTTTAAGTTTCTCGATTATCAATTATTGTAATTTATAGTACTTTTTATGTAATTCATAAATATATATAAATTTCATTTTTTTAAAAAAAATTGAAGATGTCATGCGCAAATTTTCAATCAAACTTAAATTGTTTGACTCTCAAAAAATGAAATTTATCACATAAATTGAAACAAAGGGAGTAATTGATTTTATTTGAAAATTTATGTTTATTCATGAAAATTCAAAACTAATTTTTACATCATATTTTGAATTTAAAAAAATAACTTATAGTTTGTTCGTTAGCTCACTTTTAATTTCATACCAAACAAATATGTGTAAATCAAATAAATCTCATAGTTTTAATATGAAATTACAATCTATCTCTAATAAATTTTTAATTACATTAATCTCTTAAACATTAAACAAATCGGATACAACAATTGAACTTCGAGTACATTAATATTGCAGCTTAGATTCATCAAATACTAACTCGGGTACATTAAAAACTAGCTTGGATACACAATATGTAGCTCGGATACATTAAATACTGGCTCGAATACATTAATATGCAACTCAGATACATTAAAAATTTAAGAAATTTTGGAGATTTTTAAAAGTAAAAGGAGATAATGGATATAAGTGAAACAAAATTAAAGATATATATTTTTGTAATTTGTCCAACAAAAATATACTCATATTTTAAAATTTATAATACATTTATATTGTATACCTAATTTACTTTAGTATATACACATTCGTCATAATATTGATATATAATGCTATAAATTATAGTTAGATATGTAAAAAATACCACTAAAATCAATAATTATTTTCCTAAAAAATATCCGTCCAACTATAAACATTATTATTGGACCGTGCATAGCACAGGCGACCGTAACTAGTATAAATCATAAGCTATAAAAGATATTATAATTCAATAGCTAATATACAATTCAAAACATTTCAAAAAGTCGTGAGCAAAGAAAAATCTCTCTTACTATTTATACATTTAATTAATTTAAATTTTGTACCTCATAAAATTTATTATAAAAATGATGAATTTCTCGTTCTTAATAGTTAAACTCAAACAATCTTACTAATTAGAAAATCTTATTCGTCCCAATATTACTTATAATTAGGTGTAGGTTCCTTTTCATTGAGATAACGTTTAAGTATTCGGTATTTACAAATTTATTTAATTTAAATTTGTGTCTCATAAGTTTCATTAAGAAAAGAAAAAAAATTTATGTTCTGAAGAAAAAAATTCGAAAAATCAAATTAATAATTGAAAAAATCTTGTCCATTCCATTACACTCTTCTTCTTTTTTTTCTTTTTTTTTTTTCAAATTTCCAAATCAAATATCGCAAAATCTTTTTTTGTTTTTTATATTCCTTTACCTCCGAACAAAAAAATAAAATTTAAGGATGGAAATTGAAAGATGATATTCAACGGTTACTCTCCCGCGGTTTCCTCTCAGAGTCCATCAATCTAACGTAAACCCGCCAACTTCGTATCCCATAGAGCCTGTAGGCATTTACCATACTACCCTTCCTCTTCGCCTACAGCCATTAACACACACGCCTAATAATGAGGGCATTATAGTAAAATAACTTAATTACCGTTATCCAATAGACCCCATGGAATATAGCTGGACTGGGTTTTTTTTTCTTTTTATCTCTTCAAATTCTGTCGTAACGAATTAAAATCTAAATTAACACTTAATTAATACTGTTTATGATATTGCTCTGTTCTTTTCTCCATCATAAACGTTTTAATTAAAATCCATGTTGCTTCTGTCCTTTTAACTTTTCATATCTTTTAACCTTGACCAAAAATAAATAAAATGTTGGACTCATGGAAGAAAAACAAGTTTTATTCAAAATGGTAATTGTGATAATTCAACTGTTTTTTTTTTTTTTAATTTTCTTGTTAATTCTGCTAATGTTCTTGAGGAAATTTTTCTTGATACAGCAAGTCTACAATCAATCAGACCAAAACTCGAATTGAAATGATCAGGAAGAAGAGAAATTCAATGCAGAAACACTTGAGGAATGATATAGCTGACCTTGTTAAATCTGAATTGGTTGTCAATGCCTATGACAGAGTAATTTTCTTTTGCGACTTTGTTTTATTTTGTATGACCTCTTTCTTTTTTGTGTCTGTTCAAACAGAGATGACTCATTTCTATATTTGGAAAGCATTTGATTTTAAAATTCATATTTTTTTAATTTTAATTATGTGTTTATATGAAAATAGAAGTGTTATGATGTATGTTACATAAGCTCTAGATATACTTCTAGTATGTGATACAAGCATCTCTTTCTTTGTTGAGATTGAGGTGTAGTTATTATTTTGGATGAGTCATTGCATCATTGTTTAATCTGTTGATGGTGCAATTTTCTCTGCGTAATAGAGGATCCATCTACTTGCATCAAAAATCATATGATGAGGATTGGCATATTAGCCTGAATAAAGTGAATTGGTTTTGTAAGAAAAAATACAACTTTATAAATAGAGGATGATCTTGAGAGAATAATAAATTGCTCATTGATATTGTTTTTGGAAGACATTAAGACATAAAGCAAGTTTTTTTCTAGAGAGCTTTCAATAAAAAAAAAGGTTCTTTTGCTGCAGTTTTTTTCTCCTACTAGCAACCTTCAGATCGTGTTTTCCGATTAACTAACCGTTGGATCGGGCTGAAATTTGGACTGAGTGTTTCTGACATCTTGGTGGTTGATTTGAATGGTGAAGATCGGATTCGCAGGTCATAAAGATCCTGTTTAGGTCCCGAACAACAACTGGATTTGGGTGGTGTTTCTTTTTATTTATCTTTTGTTGGTGTAGCTATTGTTTGTTCTCTTTGGCACTTAATGTATAGCCATTAGAAGAATATTCCTTCTTATTTTTATAGTGAAGCAATTCGAATTTTGTCGGGTTTTTCCACGTTAAGTTTGGTGTTCTTTATTGTTAGATTTTCGTTTTCGTTTTTTTTGTCACAACAAGTGAATCTGTGTTTTCCCCAAAATTGATGAAATTAAGCTCTACTGATCTTTTGTCTTAATGCAACAGACTGAAGGGCTTCTAGTTGAGCTGAATCTCTTGAGTTGTTATGATTTCTTGGATCAATATTGTGAGCAGATCCTTAGTCACCTTGACACCATAAGTACACAGAGGTACTCTTCACATTTTTAATTTCTATTTGGTGTCTCAGAAGAACAGTATACATAAATTGCTAATATTGCTTATGAATTATGGTGATATTCATTTTCTGACTAGATTTTTTAGTGAATTTGTTGCATCATAAACATCTCAGTTCTCACATGCCACAATAACATACTCAGTATAATCCACAAATGAGGTCTGGGGAGGGTAGTGTGTATGCTGCCTTAACCCTACTTACGAATATGAAAATGTATTTTCCGATAGAACACTAAAATCGAAGAATAAGACCGTAGGAGTGTAATAATAACAATATTGTAGTGATAGGGAACTAGACACTACACGACTGCCTACTAACCTTTTACACTTATCCTCGACCTCCATATCTTTGTATCTAAGATCATGTCCTCGGTAATCTGTTGGTCTACCATGTCCTGTGTTCTAAGAATAGTTTTCCTGTGAGTCAAACTATTTCCTCATTTCTGAACAATTCTTGTTGTTTCAGGGAATGCCCTGAGGATTGTAAGGAACCTGTAGGATCTTTGATGTTTGCTGCAGCAAGACTAGCAGACCTGCCTGAATTACGTCAACTTAGAACGATGCTTAATGAAAGATATGGAAATTCCCTTGAATCTTGTGTCAATAATCAGGTAACTACACATTCTCTTCATCCTCAGATAATACTTGCGCATAAAATTTCTCGGATAACTCCTCTATCTTGTAAAAAATATCATCTTTTCTTGGCAGTTTGCTGCGAAATTAAAGCCAGTATGGCATAAAATGGACGTGAAACTACAGTTGATGCAAGATATAGCAGCAGAATATGGCTTAGAATGGAATTCAAAAGCTTTGCAACAGAGGCTTTATGAACAAGAGCACGCGGATGTAGCAAGTAACAATAAAAAATCTAAAGATGCTCATCATATCGAATCAAGAGATGATGATTCAGTTGAA